AAAAGAAAGAGAACGTCTTGAGACTTCATTTTCTGAACAATTATCCAAGGCCAGTGAAGAATCAGGGCATTGAAGGATCTTTTGAACCAAAAAGAAATTTATGCCGGGGAGTTAGTTCAGAATTTGACTAAGGCACAGGAGGATCTTCGTGCCTCTATGGATAGTATGCATGCTTTGGAGAATTCTCATGCCGCCCTTCAATCTTCTTATGATTTTGTATTAGCTAAGAATGAAGGACTCAAGAATGAGGTCGCTGCTTGGGAAAGGGATTATGAAATCCTTGAGGAAAAAACTGATGTTGAGGTGAGTTGGGCCTTCCTAAATTTTCGTCGTGACAACCTTACTAGAAATGGGTCAAGAGGACTTCAACCTTGAATCATAATTAGCCAAGGTGAATGAAACCATCGCACGAACTCAACAAACACAAGATTTTTCATCTCCCGAGGTTGAAGTTCCCTTGGTTGAAACTCCCGTCGCTGAAGCCTCTGTGAATGCTGCAATTGCTTCGGATGTTGTACCTTCTTCAAGCTCAACTGTGCCCCTTGCTGCAAGCCAAGCTGAGATCTCATCTGTCGATGTTGTTCCAGTTGAGCCCGCTGATGATCCTTCCTCAGTTCTTTCTTCTTAGTGAAAAGATTTATATTTGCTTTAAATTCCCTTTTTTTGCAGGTACCCATCTGGAAAACTATGTTTAAGGTTTTTGGTTTCTTGTGATAGTTTTTTTTTCTTTGTAATCAAACCCCTGCTTATCAGTTAAGGTTTGATTTTTTAAAAGTTCAAGTCCCCAAGTCTTGTTTAAGGGGAATTTTTTGTATGAATAGTTCGATGACTAAGTTTATACTTAGTCTTTAGTTTTAAAATATTAAGAAGTTTGTCTTTAAACTTCCATCTGTTCTATTCGTGCCTTTTATTTTCAAGGACTTAAAGAATAGTCTGCATTTTTATTCTTTGAAAATGCTTTCATTAACCTCATGACTAAATAACATGAGTTTTATAAAAGAGGGCCCTTTTATATTTTGACACTTAATAAAGAAGACGTTTCAACTTCATAATGGTGTGATCATACGATAAAAGAAATAGGAACACACATGTTTTTTGCAATAACTTCGAGAAATTTTTATTTCTGAATTTTGACAAGTTTTGAATAATACTTTACATGTGCTTGAATTACATCTATAACTTTCTCGTAACTGTTTTTTCTTGTAACAGATTTTTTAAGAAAAAATAACAAACACGAGGTTTTTCTTTATAACCCATTTTAGAACAATAAATGCAAGGTTTTTCTTTACAACCTGCTTTAGTACACAGCTTTTACCCTAATTACAGTAAGGATTTCTTTAGCCTTGGCTCATGACTTCATTTGACTTTTATTACTCTGCACTTGACTTTTTCCCAGGCTTGATTTTTCTTCAATCTTCTCTGCCCTCTTTATATATACTTGTGTATATTATGT